TCTTCCCCTCCAGGGCCGGCAGGGCTTGGGCTCCATCTTCGTGTGGGCCTCGGGGAACGGCGGGAGAGAGGGGGACTACTGCTCCTGCGACGGCTACACCAACAGCATCTACACCGTCTCCGTGAGCAGCACCACGGAGAACGGCTACAAGCCCTGGTACCTGGAGGAGTGCCCGTCCACGCTGGCCACCACCTACAGCAGCGGAGCCTTCTACGAGCGGAAGATTGTGAAGGGCACGTACCTGGGTTGCAGGTTCGATCCCTGGCCCAGGTCTGGGTGCATGTGGGAGGCAACCAATCAGTATGTCTCTCTCACATCCATGTTTCTCTTCTCTGTCTGTCTCTCTTTCTTCCTTCTTCCCCTCTTCCTCCTCCTCTTTTTTCCTCCCCTTCCTCCCTCCCTTCTGCTCTCTCTAAATATCAATGGAGCCCTAGCTGGGTTGGCTCAGTGGATAGAGCATCAGCCTGCAAACTGCAGGGTCCCGGGTTCGATTTCCTGTCAAGGGCACATGCCTGGGTTTCGGGCTCGATCCCCAGTAGGGGGCGTGCAGGAGACAGCCGATCCATGAGTCTCTCTCATCCTTGATTTTTCTATTCGCTCTATCCTCTCCCTTCCTCTCTGAAACCAATACAAATATATATACTAGAGGCAGCGATTCGTGCACTGGTGGGGGTGTGGCCTGTAGGGATTGGCCTGCTGTGGGAGCGCCGCTCATCCCGGTCAGCGAGCTGTGCTCCCACTGTGGGAGCGCACTGACCACCAGGGGGCAGCTCCTGTGTTGAGCGCCTGCCCCCTGGTGGTCAGTGTGCATCATGGGGCTTTTATATATATAGTTTGTGGTTTTTTTAAAAAAGATCTATCTTTTAAGAAAATAAAAAATAAATACAAACCAATGGAAAAATATCCTCGGGTGAGGATTAACAACAACAACAAAAATAGGTGAGCCAGGTCCAGGCCGTTGTGTGCCGGGTCCCAGGGTGCCACCCTCACCCATCAGCGAACTAGCTGTACACCCTCCATCCCTTGGCAACCTTCCCCAGTCCCCGCCTGGCTAATTTTTGCACAAAATGCCCATTAAAACCCTCTCCGGCTCTCGAGGTCTAAAAATACCCTTTAAGAATGAGGTGCATTCTCACCACGGCGTCTCCGAATGGCTTTCTCAAATTCTGTGGTCGCCTGGCTTGGGAGCCAGCCCACCCGACCGGCTCAGCCTCAGCGTGCAGCGCTGAGGAAGAGAGAGAGACTCGGTTCTCTCCTGAAAGACGGTCGGAATCCCGCTGGCCCCCCGGGCATTCCCTTCCCAACAAAAGGACTTTCTCTGGATGCTGAGCTGAGCTGAGCTGAGCGGCGGTGTGCGCCTGCTGCGCTCACGTAGGCGGACATAAGTGTGATTTGTCTTTGATAAAGTCCTTGTGTTCGTTTGTCAGAGAGACGGGATTTGCATTTGCTCCTTCCCTTCGTGCCTTCTGACTTTAAAAAGAATGAGGAGCCCTAGCCGGTTTGGCTCAGTGGCTAGAGCATCAGCCCACGGACTGAAGGGTCCTGGGTTCGATTCCGGTCAAGGGCACATGCCCTGGTTGCAGGCTCCATCCCCTGCCCCGGTCGAGGTGCATGTGGGGGGCAACCCATCGATGTGTCTCTCTCACATCCATGTTTCTCTCCCTCTCCCTCCCCCTCCCCCTCTCCCTCTCCCTCTCCCTCTCCTTCCTACTCTCTAAAAATCCATGGGAAAAGCATCTTCGGGTGAGGATTAAAAATAATGATAATTAGACAAATCAGGAGGGATGGGTGTTGAGTTGAAACTAATGCAGAATTCCAGTGCACAGCCATTACGTTGGGTTTCAGACATTTGAAAAACAAGATCATGTAGCCGGCCAGACATGGCTTAATTTAAAAAATATATATATATGTTTATTGATTTCAGAGAGAGGAAGGGAGAGGGAGAGAGAGAGAAACATCCATGATGAGAGAGAATCATGGATCGGCTGCCTCCTGCACGCCCCCTATTGGGGATCGAGCCTGCAACCCGGGCGTGTGCCCTTGACCGGGAATCGAACCCTGACCTCCCGGATCATGGGCCGACGCTCAGCCACTGAGCCACGCCGGCCGGGCAATGCCATTTTTTTTTTAATCTTCTCGTTCCTCCTGCTGCTCAGCCACGTCTTTACAAACGACGTGCGGGTTTATTTTTACCCTTTTCGGGGGGAGCACACAGGCCCCCTCTTTTCCCCCTTCGCTCCCTGCACGGACGGAAAGGCCAGTCCCCACGGCGGCCGCCAGCTTGGCAGCGGCCAGGCCGGCTCACGAAGGTATTAATTTAAGTTATTTTTCTTTCCCACTGGAGCACGCGCCCCTGGGACGGGCCGCCGGGTCCTGAATGGCGTCCTGTTCACGTAGGAGCCCAGCCCAGCTGCACGGGGACTGGCTGGAGTCTCGTTAAACAGACACCCGTCCGGAGCCTGGTTGGGGGGCAGCGGGGGGCTGCCGGCTGGTGGGGAGCAGGGCGGGGCTGTGTCTTTGGACACTTGGTGCCTGACCTCCTGGTTCATAGGTGGACGCTCAACCACTGAGCCACACCGGCCGGGCCAGGGGGGCTCCTCTTCGTGTCTCAGCACAAACATCGTCTTCCCGCTGCCCCGCCCCCCGTCCTCACCCCGTGGTGGGCTTGTTTGTTCCTATCGCGGGTGCATTTGTTACCTATGAGAGCGAAGCCCTCTAGCACGGAGTTCCAGGCACGAAGGAAAGCTTGGTCGCCCAGAACGTGTCCAGCCCAGTCGGCGTGGCTCAGTGATTGAGCATCGACCTATGAACCAGGAGGTCACTGGTTCGATTCCCGGTCGGGGCACATGCCCGGGTTGCGGGCTCGATCCCCAGTGGGGGGCGTGCTGGAGGCAGCCGATCCATGATTCTCTCTCATCAT